TTTATCCTCTCTGTGCCTTGGTTTCCTCGTCCATAAAACAAAAACAAACATGGAGTTGTGCAGATCGAGTGAAACCATGTATGTAAAGCATTTAGAACAACGGTCAGCGTGTAATAAGTGTTTTATACGTGTCTGTCGCATAAATTCCACGTCTCAGTATCTCCCCAGGGAAATACACGAGCAGCAAAAGCAGATCCACCGGTGCTCACCTACCTCGTTGTTTATAGCAGTAGAAAAAGTAGAAACTAACCAAACATGCATCAATTAGCCGGCAGTGGAACAAAGTGAGGTGGGTCGTTACATTCTGACAAGGAAAGATCTCTGAGAGATGCTGTTAGTACCAAGAGCCAGATTCGGAATGATACGTAAGTGACGATCTCGTAAATGAAACACGCAACATTTTATATACATCCATACGGCTGCTGTTTTTTCCCCCAGCCGAACATAACAAGTGTTGGTGAAGATACGGAGAACTTTGGAACCTTTGTCTACCTATTTATTCTATTTATCTTAAACAGCCCCATTGCCGGTCAGAATGGAAAATGGTGCAGCCGCTGCGGAAAATTACTGAGCAGCTCCTTAAAAAGTTAGGCGTAGAATCACTGTGTGATGCAGCGGTGTCCACACTAGGCAGAAGGTGGAAACGATCCAAGTGTCCACCGACACGTGACTAGATAACACCGTGTTTCCCTGCAATGGAATGTTATTCGGACTTAAAAAGGAGTGAAATCGTGACTGGATGAACCTGGAAAACATTATGCTAAGCGAAATAAGCCAGATACGAAAGGACAGATATTATATGATTCCACTTATATGAGATACCTAGAATAGGCACATTCACGCGGGGACAAAGTGGGACACAGGTCGCCAGGGGCTGGGGCAGGGGGAAATGGTGAACTATTGTTTAATGGGTTTCTGTTTGGAAAGATGAAAACGATAGGTTTTATGTGATATATGTTTTCTTACAATGAAAAACTGACCTTAACAGGTGTTGGCGGGCACGTGGAACAATTGGAAGTCTCACACACCGTTAATGGGAACGTAAAAGAATACAGTCACTGTGGACAACGGATTGGCAATTTTGAAAAAAATGTAAACAAACGTACCACACGACGTAGCCATTCCGCACGTAGGTATTATCCAAGAGAAATGAAAACATTTGTCCACAAAAGATGCTGGACAAAAATGAGTAAGTATTGTCAATTTTCCATTCACTTAAAACTTTAAAAAATGCGAATGAATAAACAGCGACTGAAAGCATATCAGCGGAGGGAGGTTTGGAGCGAGGGGTTACGAATGGACATGAGGAGGCCTTTGGGGGTGATGGACGTGTTCGTTTGGTGATGGCTCTGTCGGGTGCACGCAAACGTCATAATTAGTCCAATCGTGTGCTTTACATACGTGTCATTTGTTGTCTATCGATTATTCCTCAATAAAGCTGTTTAAAGACTAAGTTTAAGGAGGGAGTAGCCAGGAGCATTTGAGAGCTCGCTTCCCAGCATGGCATCAGCTTGGCTCAAATAAACTCAAACTCTGATCCTTGCAGCAGACTGAGGAGTAAGCCTCGGTATCCCTATTTTGCAGATAAGGAGCTCGCGATGCAGAGAGGTGAAGCCACTTGCTCAAGGGCACAGGGAGACAGATTCAAATGGTGTGAAATGGAGGAGTGGGCCGTGCCGGTCCATTGATTGCTGACAAAAAGTCAATTCGGGAATACTAGGCATGGAAGGGCTACTCTTTAGATGGGGATCAGAGGGCTCGGACGCTCCGCTCCTGGCATGATTGACGACCATGAACCACTCGTACCCGTCCCTTCCCTCTGGTGACCAGGGGAGGGACCCTGGGGTTGTATGTCTCAGTTCTCTGCTCACCATGGAGCCCATCTCCCATGCCCACACTTACAGAAATAGAATCACGTACTGTACGATTTCATGTGTTACCTGCTAAAGCAGTTCCCACGAAACAGCAGAGAAGAGAAAGATCAGTCCATATATTATAGTGAGAGAATCAGTCAGACGTTTGAAGAAAAATAGAATTTTCCCCATCTACCTATTTATTCTATTTATCTTAAACAGCCCCAAGCCGATAAAGAATCAAATGTACGTTATTAAATAGGATTGAGTATCTGGCAGATCTCTGAACCTATGGAAGCCTCCTAAGCTCTGAATTGACAAGGAGTTACAGATTTGGCCACGTACACATTTGAAACTTTGTATATAGGAAAATATAACCAAAAGGAAAATAACCAAATGGTAAAAAAATATCTGCCTCAAGTATGACAGAAGACGAACCTCTACGGTGTGTGAGGCACTCATGCGAATCAATCAGAAAAACATGTCCCAAGGAGAAAAATGGGCAGAGACAGTCACACAACAGGAAATGGAACGAAGAAAAAAAGCGAAGCTAAATGTACGACCTCGCTAGTGGTTTTTTAAGGCGCTACTTCAATTAGATTAGTGAACCGGAAAAGGAAGTGATGGCCAGGCCGGCCTGAGTACAGTAAAATTGCAAGGATCCTCCGAGACAAGGGTTTCGGGGGTGTGCATCGCTACTGGCGAAGTGTTGGGATTTGACGCGGGGCTCCCTCCCCAACGCTTCTGCCAACCTCTCCCCTGCACCGAGCACAGAGGCGCTAGTTGTCCCAGATGCGGGTCTGCAGCCCGGGTCACGCACCCAAGCTCAGATCTATGTCTACAGATGGCTGCGGCCCCGCACCTCATAGCAAGCATGGCAGTGAGCGCACCGCTGAGTTACCAAGCCAGACACCTGGGAATCAGCCTGTGCCTCACCCCTGCACATGCGTCATTTCCGGTCAGACCCTGCCAAAGCTCCTGGGTCTGGCCCTTCTGTGTCTTGCTCGTAATGTTGAAATAGCCCTGACCCCTCACTTCCAAGGCACTCACACGGCCTTCAAAGCGTTCTATAAGGAGCAGAGTTATCTTCCCAAAGCACAAAGCTGATACCGTCCTCCTTAAAATCTTTCAATGGCTTCCCACTATCTACCTCCATGCTAAAGTCCAAGGATGTCAAGATTTAGCACCTCCCCGTGTTCCAAAGTGCCTCGCCACCATCTTTCCTCTGATGAGCTTCTCCTGGCTTTCCGCCCCTCCCCCCAGCCCGCCTCTCCCATTGTAATGTGCATTCCTTGAGAGCGGAACTAGATCTTAATCATCTCTGCATGGGTTCGTAATACAGAGTTTGACACAGAGTAGGCACTCAGCAAGTGTGGGGTGACGGAATGGATTGATTCTAAGGAAATCGTTCGACTGAAGGGAAGAGCCACGTGAAGGAAACCGTTCACCGTGGCAACATTTCATAATAAAGCAGAAGTACAGAAAACTCAATGTTGAACAATAGAGAACTTTTATTAATTGTGGGACATCCATTTAATGGAATGTGATGCAGCTGTTAAAATACTAATTATGAAGATCATGCGGCAACTGAGAAAGTGTTTGTAATATAATAAAAGCGGAATGGAACACGGTCTGTATCCTAGAATTAAAATTATGTAAAAGTATGCACGCACACAAACTGATCAGAATGAAAACAGGAACAGGAACAAATGAATACGGATGATGTGTTTAGGGTGCTCGGGGAGGTACTGTTTGTGATTGTCTTAGTTTTTCCCAAATTCCCTTTATTGTTCTTAGAATGTCATTTGTGCTTAAATATGAATTGACTGACAGAGGAAAAAAATATATACCGAAAAAGGTGCTTTGATTTCCTCAAGTCCTTTGATAAGCTGGGGTACAGAACCAAACCACTGACCTGGGCGACCGGGAACCAGCCCCGCCCCCCGCCCCTAACTGGCTGTGCGACCTGCAGCTCGGACCAGCCTTTTATCTTATGCTCTCTAATCCAAAGTTCCGTGGTTATTCCCAAATCAACTCCCGTCACTCCCGTTACAGTGGCAGCACCATCTTCCCAGCGCCCTCGGCCTGATGACCTCAGAACCCACCTGGCATTGTCCCATCGCCTCCACGCTGGCTCTAATCCCCAGCTGCAATCGATTGCCCCTTCTTTTACAATAATCGGCTATGGACCTAGTCTTAGACAAAGGAGGCCCTGCCCTCTGACTTGATACCGTCTGGGTGAGAAAAGCTGACACTGCTTGTCTCTTGCTCCCCGGCAGACTGCTGGGGGGTGAGTGCAGGGTAGAGGTGGAGACATGTAAAATGAAAGCTCCTGAGTTAGGGTTTGACCCTCCATCCCCGCCGTGGGAGTTCAGGCACAGGCTGCATAGTCGGGGATTAAGTTTCATAAGACTTGGGACAATGAGTGGGGTGTTGACTGAATTTATTCATTTACCAAGTGCTGGACACAATGGCAGGCTCTCTGTTAGGTGGCAAAGGATCCTCCAGATTAATTAGGGGAGGCTCTGTCCCAGAGATGCTCACGGCTTGGTGCGGGACAGTCGTAGCTGTGTGCTGCCATCGAGTTTGAACAGAGGGCTCTGGGCCAAAAGAGTGTGGGACCAACCCTACCTGTGGGGCTGGGGACTCACAGAGGCAGAGGGACTTGAGCTGTGTGTATCGTCCAGGCTGAAGGGTGACATTGGGGCCCAAGGGGGAGGTTGCGCTGTCCATGGCGGTTCCAAGCTGAGAGTCATCAGGTCCACAGGCAGGACGCTTGAAAGAAGCAGCTTTCTCAGAGCAGCAAGGGTTTGGAGCGGCTTAGGCTCTGAGGTCTGGGATGCGGGAGCAATGGGTGTCCGGGCAGAGAGACCGGAGGGGACAGGAAGGAGGGTCAAGGGCACGTTCGAAGTAGGGGAATAGCATGATCGCATTCGCTTTAGATACCAGGACGATCCCTAACGTCCCCTCTCTTCCCTGGGACTTTATGACAAGTGCCAACCGTGCGCTTTGCAGCCGGACCAGCGGGACAAACTCCCTGCATCCGAGACGGAAGCAGGCGCCTCGGAGGAGGCGCGAGCGAGGCGTTGGGAGGAGACCGCCCTTTCTCCGCGGCGGTTCCGAACCGCCGGACCTCGGACCTCCCACCAGCAGGTGGCAAGAGAGGGTCCCCGCGCGCGGTGACCGGGTGGCCAGGGCGGGGCTCCGCCGTCGGCGCGCGCAGCCTGCCACCCTCTTTTCTCTGAGCACCGGAAGAAGGCGGTCCTCTTTCCGTGCCCAGCGCAGCCATGGTAAGGCCTCTTTCCGAACTCTTGGGACACATCAGCTTCCATCCTCCCGAGCCCGGGGCCGCCCGGGGCCCCGGGACCCCCTCGGCGGGTGCCCGGATGGAAGAGAAGGGAGTACCGCCTGCGGAATGGGCCCGGGCGCGCTGGAGAGCGAGGGCGCACA